CAAAATCAACGGATGCAAATAAATCCTCTTTCCTGAGTGGCAAAATTATCAGAGGCTATTTCAGATCTGAGTCTGTCAATAAAAACATTCCTTGGCTATGTCTGTGCAAGTGAAATAAGCAGGGCAAGGATAGCACTATTGTTTGATCACCCATGCTGTTTAATTGCTAATACTCTCCCTGGCATAGTTTTGAGCTCAGTCCCAGACAATGCCTGGGCACAGCTGGGGGACAGCACAGGCCGGGGACTGTTCTCAGGAGGCAGTGAGTGTTCTTTGTTTTAGGGAGCAAAGACAGTTTAATCATATAAACATAAGCAATGCTGGACCACTTGCCCATAGGAACAGAGGAGTGGCATGGATGCAGCTTGTAAGTTCAAATGAGGTCCACAGCTCTGGCTTTTCTTTGATGGCAGGGAATAGTGGCTATAAATTCTTTACCCTGTGAGAATCTCTGGCTAGAGCTGATTAAGGATCTATTTCCCACCAGACCAAGCTTTCACAAAGCATCTTTAAAAAGAAAAGGGGTAGGTGGTCTTGCAAAGAACAGGCAGCTTAATTATCTAATCATGGGAGGCAGTGTCTGCTGTCTAATAGTTATTTTCTCATGGGTAGTGTACACATGAGAAAATTCAGTGCCACAAGTAAGAAGGGAGGGAGAAGAAGAATGGGATGGTCAGAGAAAGTCTTGAAATGCCTCAAAGCCAAGAAACTGGGAGCAGTCTAAAGTAAGCATATGAATTTGTGAGGAACTTAGTGTAGTGGATGTTGGTCTATCTGACCACTGGTTTTTTAGATTGCTGATGAGAAGAAGGAGAAGCCAAGCTCTTTTCCTTAACTGTACTCCTGAGGATGTGCTCAGTACTACGAAAGTCTCTCTAAATACTTCAGAAGACCAGGAGTCCTTGAGGCATTTTGAACAATGCAAAGTGGGATGACTTCCAGATGTTTCATGTGAGTCATAATCCAAGAGCATCTTTTTCTTTCCACTCTGAGGCAGAAGAACAAGGAAGAAGAGACTGAAAATGAGAGACTTGGGGTACAAGCCAGAACAAAGAGATATGCCAAGAAGTTATATTTTGAGCTCTTTATGAGCTGTATGCATAACGCCTATACAGGTTGAATATTTTCTGGGTATATTGTTTACTGGCTGACAAATAAACACAGGAATGCTATCTCACAGCAGAATATGTCCCTTGTAAAGCTAGTATGTGTGTGTGTAGCACCTAAGTCCATAAAGGTGGAACAAACATTCAACAAAATATGAATTAAAAATAAAAAAAAAAGCTGAAGATGTATTATCTTGCTCTTATAAGGCCACAAAAAAAAAAAAAAGGAAAATAAATGTAAGTGCAGAAAAAACACATCCCAAGTTTGAAAGGGTAACCCACAATGCAAGTGAGAAAATAATCCTGAGGAGCATGTTTTGATTTAGCCATAAGGAAAATGGAAGCTGGGTACACTCTGCTCTTTTTTTATACCACACGCAGTATTTTGAGGAGGGTGTGGGATTGTGTCTTCAGGCACTCACAGCATGTCTGTGCTTATCACTTAAAGGACAACAGACTTTGTTCCTAAGTGCAGTTATTGGGAATTCTATCATTCAGCAAAATTACAGCAGGACTGAATTTGGCTTGAAGCATTATTCTGTAGCCTTGAAAATGTTCTCTTCATAAAGTCAGAAATGGACAAAAATCCAGGAAATCTTGTTAAGAATTAATACTGGAAACAGCATTGATGTCACTTATACATGTGGCATGCTGGGTACCTCGAAGCATATTTAGAACAAGTAGTAAACAATGGCAAACCAGGGGAAGTAGGATTTTGCCCGCGTTTTGAAGACTGTTAGCTATATTTACTTTTATATTGCGATGGATGTGTATACAGCACTCTGTCAAGCAAGATATACTTTTTATTGACCTACTTGTGTTCCAATTTATTGCTAGTGACAGCTGTTGTCAATGATCTGGAGAAAGTAAATTGAGAATAAAGCAAAGAGACACTGATTGGTAAAAAAAATTAGTTGTTGTTTTAAATCAAATATAAGGGATTTAGTCTCTTAAAAACTACAGAATCTGATTAAGATGAAGACTTTAAAGCCATGTCTGGATTACAGTAACTCAGAATTTCATGGATTATGAGATAAAATACCTCACAGGCATCATTTTGGGCAAATGATGCCATTAGGATTACTATGCAATTTTAGGCCTACTGTATTACATTTCTTCAAATCCTCTGCTGTGTTACTATATAAATTTGAAAGACACTGGCTGCCATGTTTAATTTGATCCTTCTAACATGTGAGTCAAATTTGTTGACATTTAACATTTGCAGCCAGTCTAATCTGCTACATTTCAGTGACTTCACAGTAATTTCAGAACCAAAGTCTAGTACAGCTGGTATTCTGGTGGTATTCTGGTTTCCTAGATACGGGTTGTAGGTGACAGTTGTAGTACATGAAAATCTCCCTCTTCTAGTTAGCACAACAGGAATTTAATCATTTCTGTTTTTTAAGGGCAAATTAAGACATATTTGATTATTTGTTTTATCTTATTTGGCTTTTTAGATTGCTTTTTTTAATGGTCCACAAGGTGCCTGGGGACATTCTACATGGAAGGCACTATACATGAACAGTTTAATTGTATCTCTCTTTGAAAAGGTGAAACAGTTTTATTGAAGATGCCTGCCAGAGAAATCACATGTATCACTAATGGAGAAAGCAAGTGATAAAAGACTCTTAGATGATAGAGATAGTGAAAAAAACAGTTTTCCTATTACAGTATTTTAGGGGAAAAATGAAACAAACCACTCCCACTGTTTTTTGTCATCATCTTGAAGGAAAATCAGATGAAGATACAATAGTTGTGTTATAGCTGTTTCTGATTGTGTTTTTTTTCTAATCCAAACAGATGAGCACGTCCTACAATTTTGACTTTTATCAGGCACACTGATACCTTTCTTCCTTGTATGTACATGTTTAAACTGCAGAAAAATTGAACAGTTGCAAGCAAATTACAGATGATAAAGTATTTTAAGAGGTATGAAGAGTTAGGTAGTACTTCTAAATAGTTTCAAATTTCCTCAGTAGAGATGACTGAATGAGTGTACTGGAAGAATTAAAAACATGGAGGGATGTGGAGAAGGAGGGAAAATAAGGATATATACAGAGGGGAGAGTTTTCTCCAAAAGGGGCAGAAAAATGGATTACATTTATTCAATTTTCATCTCCTTATGACTGCCATGAATACACACAGAAATTAATCTCACCAGCCTTCTTTTCTTGACATATGAAACAGTTACATCCTTTTGAAGTCTATGGGAATTATTTATATCTATAGTAGGAAACCTGGTTTCTCTTTATGAGAGGCTTCTGTCCTTCTAGTTGTCCCTGAGACTCGGTAATGTGAACAAACATAATACTAATGCTAATGCTAATACTAATGCTAATGCTAATACTAATACTAATACTGATACTGATATGGATACTGATACTAATACCAATACCAATACCAATTATTGTTATTACTACTATTATAAAATCCCCATTCTGGCAGAAAGCAGTTCCTGAGGAAACAAGGCTATTATCCCAGGGTTTCATTTGGTACAAAAGAATTAGAGATCTTGTGGGTGAATGTCTGGTAGTATGAAAGGCACCTCAAGGTCCCACATTTTATGGAGCTTCAAGAAGTCTGAGGCAGAGCTTGAACAGAACTTCTTCTACACCAGCCAGAAAAAAAAATGAGTATTTTCAGACCAGAACTTTACCTGTCAAAAAAACCTGGATTTTCTAGACACTGGGATTTCAACCTTCAGTTTCACCTTTATACCTTATCTAAATTACACCACATCCTATATGAGCTTGGGAAACAAACCAGCAATTTTATTTTACCAAAAAGAAAAGAAAGGCAATTACCAGTTTAAATTATTTTGAGAAGAGGACAGCAGGGGATGTTTGAAGGATGTAGTGGAGGTGGGGAGGGCCAGGTATCCCTCCAGGTACTCATGCTAACCACTCCTGCTTCCTACTCACTCTGCCTTTGTGATAGCTTTTTCTAATCAGCAGTATCGATGATAGTAGCAGCGGTCAAGGCTCAGGGAAGCGAGGCTCCCATATGATCTCTCCCCCTGCTCCAAAGAGTGCAGAAGAAGGGTGCTCATCTCAATCTGCCCTGCTATGGTTCTGTGTATATTAATAGTCCGATATATGCATAATTATATGCCAGAGGCCCGGGGGTACTAATAAAGACCTAATGGCCCTGACCTGCCTTATGTGGGGCCTCACCTCTCTGCCCATGGGATAAAGAAATCCATTTAATAAAGCTCAGGTCTGGGCCTTCACTCCCTGTCCAACTCGTCATAAGTGTGCCTGTCCTCAGCCATGCTTGTGCCTGGCCATGGTCCCTATTGATCTTGACGCTGACCTGGGCACTGCCATCCTGGCTGGACCTCAGGCCTGCCTTGCCACTATGGACACCTGGCAGTCACTGGGCTGCATCTGACCCACACCAGACCTGATCCTGACCTGACTTCCTGGCCTGACCTTGGTCCTGACTCAGCACCATGGATTCGCCTGAGGATCTAGGTTCTTCGCTGAACCTGACTCCACCCTTGGGCCTGCTCTGCTCACCTTGCTTGGGTGTTGTGAGACTGGACCCCTGGCCACCACGGCCCCTGCCATGCCAGCCGTGTTCTTCCCCTTGGCTCCTGGCTCCCAGTCCTTTAGGGAACAGCCAGTCCTCACTGCTCCCTGATTATTAGAGGCTTAATTTATGATAAAAAATTAAAGAGTTTATGTACTATGTCTCATTCATTTATCGATGTACAGTATTACTATAATACTTCTGGACATGTCTCAGTTCCTTTTGGAAAAATTGTATATTTCTCACTGTAAATGCAGAAAATGATATTGTTTTTTTTGTTTGTTTGTTTGTTTGTTTTTGTTGGTTTTAATTTTTTTTTTTTTTTTTTTTTTTTTTTTTTAGTTTGAAGTCATCTGTACTTACATATCATCAAAGATAAGCTTTGTCCTTCTGCAGTCCCTGGGTGTGCTGGACAGAGGTGACCAAGGCTCTGTTTGGGACTGTGGCTTATTGCAGAGAACATTTTCTGAATTGATGTGAATTGCTTTCTAGACAACAAACAGCAAAGAAAACATTGAGGAATTGGGTACTAACTTCAAAAAAATCAACTAATAAACAACAGAGTGTCTTTGCATTGTGCTGTAAATTGGTAGTTAGTTTTCCTACTATTTCAGCAGAGTATGTACAACTGTCCTGTCACTGAAAGCCACAATTTCACAGATATTGCTCAGAGCACTTTGTAAAGGGCTTGAGTTTCAATGTGATATACAGAAGAAATTGAGCTGAACTATTAGTAACTATCAAAACACTTTGAAATACAGTAAGTGAAATGATGAAAGAATAGATCTGTTGTGGTCATTTAGAAGATCAAGTTATATGTCTTGTCTTCAACTTCCAGACTAGCATTGTACCTTGCCTCGGGAGAGCAAGGCTCACTTGTTTGACTCATTTCACACTGCACTGCTGATGTGCCTGCAGGGTATGAATTTGTAGCCCAAGGTCCAGTTTTCTTTCTGCTCTGGGTCCCTGACCAACTTGGAAGATTACTGCTCTGTGCCACAGCCGAAGCAGTTGTCTTTTGGCAGGTTCTCACACATTCCCTCAGATGCGGCCCTGTTCTTCATGAGGACTCATGAGCCCTTCATCCCACAAAGTGACCTGCTGTGTGGGCTACTACCCACTGGTACAGTGCAAAGCAGAGTGCCCCAGGTTGGTTTTGGTTGATAACCACTGCCAGAAAACACTGTTCTTTCTTTGTCAGGTGACAGACAGAAATGCACAGGGAAATGAACAAAAAGCTCAGACGGATAAAAGTCACTCCCAGGCTTGCAGAATTACAGAAATTCAAAGGACTGCTTGGGCATGCCAGTTAGGTGTGAGATGGGAAGATGGGATAAAACAAAGATACCTTTAACATTTATAGTTCATGAGTTCTCATCTTCTGTATGGCACATCCAGATAAGTTCAGCAGGCTAAAGTTTTCAGATGAATAACCAGATACATAAGAATTTTATTGCAAAGGCTGTTAAAATGTTGACCAAATGGTGCATTGCTATGCTATGCAGAAAATCTCAGCGAAATGCATTTACTAAGGGTGTGGATCATAAAGCAATCACCTTTTACTTTTGATTTCCAGCACATTTGCCTGTGAAGGAATTTAAATTGTTTTCAAGGTACCCAGTGAAGAATCATATCACTATAGTTCTGAATGGGTTATAAACCTCTAAACTTACATTTTAGAAGTTAAATGGTTAAAAATTTACATTTAATCCATGAAAAAATAAATTAATGACTATTATATGTTAAAATGTCTTTTTTATTGGAATATTTTAATGTAATTAATTTTATTCAAATTACCAAAAGCATCTGTGAGACAGTCTTGAAACACAAAATTTATGATAACTTGTTTTTTTTAAAAGTGTCCAAAATTAAGATTATAGATACTACTTCCCCCTCCATGCTCAAAAAGTAAATATATTTAAGTATATACATATATACTTACCATATACTGTGGGGCCAGTTATCCCCACAGCAAAAGTGGCTGGAAGAAACAACTGCTACAACTCAGGTAGTTTGTTTTCCTGAAAATTGCTTAGGCATTAACACTTAGGCTTTTGAAGCCTCTTATGTATCAAATAAAAATACAACAAATAGCATCTAGTCCTCTCTCTCCACGCTCTGAAGGCAGTGGCTACCACCTGGTGTAGTAATATGGCCTTATCTGGAAGAGCACTTTGGACATAGTTACCGTGGGCAAGACTGATAAGTATCTGAATGCCTGGGATCTGATGGAGCTGAGTTGTGAGGCTGGTGCTAAGCTGTTCACTGGTGTCGGGAGTAATTAGAATTGTCTGAGAAAGTTGGCTGTAAGACACGTAGGAGAACTTGTCTGCAGGCACACACTCATGGTTAGGCAATGGCTGAGTAGAGGCCTTATACAGTAGAGCGCTTACGCACCACACTTTTGGATGTATGGGGCTTGCATTGTGCACAAGCAATACTCTGGAGGCCTAAAGCCATTTGTTTTGGACATTAGCTTTTACCTTTTGCTTATGTAGCCTTTGTTATTTGTCCACTTTACAGCCTGCCCTCTTTTCTTTCTTCTGTGCCTTGCTAAACTCCAAACCAGAAAAACTGAACTTACAACACAACATTCATTATGACAATTTTCTTGCATAACATTCTGCATAACTATCACAGACTGCAATACAAAGTGAAAAATACACAGCTAGGCTTTATATTGTGAACAACAGCATAAACTTACATTGAAGTCTCCGGGATGTGTCTGTGACTGGATTTCACCCTTATGTTTTTTGCTGGAGGAGATGGAAGGTAATAGACTGCTGCCATTAGGTCTGCTGGAGGAATTTAAATCATCGTTGGAGTATTTGTGTTTTGATGCATCAGAGAGGGGAGAGACGGGTGACCGAAGCATTTTCTCATTTTTATTTATTGGTATTGCCAAGCTAGAAATGGAAATTACAGTAATGGAGTGTCACAAAGCTGGCTTTGAGAAAGGTAAATGTTTTATATATTACCAAAACTTTGAATTTAAAACCTGCTGGCAGGATAAAGTCTATTGGTATCTGGAAACAAGCTTACAGTATTGGGACCAAGAGTTCATTTGCAAATTTGTATCATGTTTCTCCTCTTTCCCTTCAAGGCAAATTGTAATTCTGGAGTTAATATAAAGTCTGTATCAGAGTACTTGAAAAAAATACAGAGATAAATGGCCACTTGCTCACCATTTCTTAAGGGATAGCTGGAGATGAAGATTAGGCTCTGAAGTGTAAGTTTAGGTTATGGAGCCCTATTTCACCATTAAAAGTGACAATTTATAAGCCATGGCAATAAAACCATATGTGAACTAAAACAGGAAATGTGTTTAAAGATGACTGGCTTGTCTTTGTGCTCAGTGCCCAGCCTTTGGTAGCACTGTTTATACTAATCTAGTACAGATTTTGAAGACAAAGAAAGATAGGCTGGTAGTGCAGACAAAAGGAAACATACGCAAACAGTAGATGCAGAGAAATGTGAGCTGCACCATCTTCTAAAGAAGAAAGCTGTTACACAGACAGTGTTTTCAGCTTTCATTTATTTGGGAGAAGCGTTGCACAGGGAGAAGTCAGACAGACAGTAAAAATATTCCCAGAAATAAACTTCAGATGCACTAATTTGAAGAAAATATTTAGCTGAAAATCTTAAAGTAACACACACAAAATAAAAGTTTTTTTAAGAAGACAGTTTGCATTAAGACTAAAACTGTGATTAAGGTCAGACAGACTATTCTAACACAATACCTTTCCTCGTCACATTCTCCTTTATTCAGCCTATTACTTTTTATGGACAATTCTCAGTTCTTTATAGTTACTGTATCAGATAGTATACACTTAATGGAATTGCAGAAAAGAATATGGTACAAACTATACTTTATTTCAGCACATAATTTCAGGGAACAGAACTAATTAAATATGCTCTTATCATACATTTGCCCATTTATCTGGCAAGTCTTTAAAAACTAGCTGTGAAAGAAGCCATGAATTGTAACTCAGAACCTTTCCTATCTCCCACAGTGTAGTACCTTTAAAACACAACATGAACTCTGTTGCTTTAATGACCAATGCTGTTTATGAAAGCAAGAATCAAGGTGTGTAAAATGGACAACTGTGAGCTTCTTCTCCCCCTAAGAAAAATAAAATCGTTAGCACTATTTTGAATGTGCAGACTGATGCTGTCAGTTCTTTTCCTCCTTTCAAGTAGAAACCCATGTCTTGGCTAGCCCTGTTCATACATCACTGTCAAAGTGTGGGCCTAAAGTATCCAAGAGGAGCCATATCTCATTGGGAGTGTACCCAAGCCTCAAAATCTTGGTCTAGAGCTTGTGAGGAGTAGCTGCAATCTCTAGTTGTGCTGCAGACCTTCTACATGGACTTTGGCACATTGTGTAGGGCCCACCTGAACGTATTGTGAGCAGTCTAACTGCAGCAACACAATCATCTCATACTGAGAAGCTATGCAGAACAACCTGCAGTGACTTGCCATCTGCTGGGACTGGGAAGGTTGTGGCATCCAACATTGGTGCAAGATATTTGGGGTACCTCTGCCTGACCCTGCAGCCTTTCTTGTCAAATAGGGCCTTGCCTAGTCTGCACTTCAGACTGTAATTCCACAGTAGAAAATGCTCATGTCTGAAGTTGGTTTTGCTCCTCTCTTTGCTACCAGCCCTCATCTGTGCTGACAAAATAATTTGTGTGGTTCTGCTGGGAGCTGAATAGTAATAGCCTGGCCAAAACAAAAAATCAAAACCAAAACCAAAAATCAAACACCAACACACCCACCCCCCCCACCCCCCCGAAAATGGAGGGGGGAATGTGCCAGCATGAGCAGCCTCTGGTTGCAAGAGGGACAGGAGGTCCTAATATCTGCACTGCTGGTTCTGATATCTGCACAGCCTCAGTAGCCCATCCTCAGCTGTGGGAATATTAGCATTTGATATCATGTCCTACAGCAGCGTAAACCACAGAAACATCTTGGAAACAGGGCAGACCAGGGAAGAATTAGGAGGCAAATATACATTTATGACCTTCTTTTTCTTTAATGTACAGTTGTTACCAGGAGTACTGAATATAATGTCAAGCAAAACGCAAATTATTGTCCTGGTTCCAGGAAGCACAGAATTAACCCAGTGACATAGCAAGCTATGATAGCCATGGATTCTCTGAAAATGAATGAAACGTAAAACATATAACGCTGAGGTAACAGGAATGGCATGCCTGCATGCAATCACCCACAATAAAGCAAACTGTTCTGTGCATTGTTTTCACTTTATGAAACATATATGGCGTGTCAGGACAGAGAAATTGAATGCTTATTTTTGAATAAGCACTACATATATTAGCTTTCTCCATGATTTTCTCAGTATTAATGACAAGAATTGCTCAAACTCATCAGTGATATATGCAATAGGAAAGCCTACTACAATCAATACAAATATTCTCTAATTTTAGCAGTTTCATCCCAAAAGATACCCTGATACTACCAGAAAACTATTTTTTTAAAAATGCTGATGACCAGTATATACTAAGTAGCATGCATCTGAACTCTGAAAAGATGCATGTCTAAGTTTGACTGTTGGAAGCCTCCAGAGAAACTAAGTATGATTGATCTGACATTGATAGGGGTCTGTGTGCATATGCTAAATTTTAATCATTTGTTTCATGCCCTGCATCCTTTGAAAATCTCACTGTTTCTAAAGTCTGAGCTCCTTGTCCTAAAATGCTTACCAATTACACAGGATTACTTGTAATTGCAAAGATATTGGATCTCAGATAAATTCTGGAACTGACTATTGCAGATATTGTTATGAATATTTTTTCTCAAGCTTTTCCATAGAGTTTATAGATAATTGTATTTATACACTCAAACTTTAAGTTTGAAACTCATAACACTGTAAGGAAAGAAAAGGCTGTAACATGGTTGCCTGTGTGAATTGGTACCTACAACACAGTGTTTGGGAATATGTCTCGGCTGCTCTAGCTATAATTACCCATTCCATGAGTCTCACACTTGAACTCACACCTTCGTGCAATAGGACAAAAATGCAAATATATAAATGTGTCAGGAGCTGCTAACTTGTTCATTAAACCAGAAGAAAGGAGAATGAAGTGGGTAATTTTTCAACATAAAATGTGATAATTAAAAAATAAATCCTATTAAAGGGAAAAACAACATACAGCATTAAATTGCAACTAGTTGTATGACTCAGTGGTAAATAAGAAGGAAAATGCTTACCTATTTTCATTCATATTGCAGTGATTTGCTGTTGTGATGCTGTGGGCAGAGGCAGCTAATCGTGAAGAATTCTCTCGCTCTAAGTGAGTCTTCTTGATGTCTCTGCACTCTTCCTCATTCTCACACTGAATGAAGAGAAAAATAATAACTTTGTAGGTTTTGGATTTACTACACATCTGAAAGTATTTCAGCAAGTCAGTGTCTGGTATTTTCTGGCATTTTGGTATTAATGATGACACTCTCATTGAACATATACCTAATATGGATCAGAGACGATTGGTCCATGTCTTAGCTAAACAGGAAGTGTGTGAACAAAGCAGTAGATATAAATTGTTCATATAATGTTTATGTCAATATAAACTTGAATTGTTTCCACCACTTCCCCACTTGAACCTTGGGATTTTTCATATTGCCCTCTTTACCTATCTCCCGTGTGCTCCTCTCTTGCCTAGTCCTCAACCTCATACCTCTTTCGTCTCTCCCTCTCTTTTCTTGGCATCAGTGACTATGCCTATACTAGTAAATACAACAGATCAGCAACTGGTCCTGCATCCAAACACCATGGCACAGCTTGCACTCGTCTCGCTCCTCCTTCAAACCAGGGTATGCTGCATTTAGATTTCATGATATGTTTCTTATGTTCTATCACTGGCTCCCAAAGGCTCTGCTTTTCCAACCTCCTGCAAAGTCCACATCCTTTTCCACTTCTAACACTTCTCCAATTTCTAGTGTTGACTGATTTTTACTTGTGATCTGTCAATTCTGCTGTTTTTATTGCCCTGCTGCATGGCAACAATGTCTTCTGTGCTATCCACTGCCACTGTGGCTGCCGCTACCAGGTTAACTATGTGGCTAACACTCCATAGGAGTGAAGATCTTCTCACACCTCAGTTCTTAACTATCCTCTTCTGTGTCTACTTTGCCCATCTTCTTGAAGTCATGACAGAGTTGGAAGTGATGAGGGCTTCTTTCTAATTTTGCAGTTATGCCTGATAATTCATTCTTATTAGTCTGATTCGTAAGGTCTTCTGGGAAGGGGGGATTACATATTGCAAGCTTGCATAGCAGCTGTCCCATTGAGGGTCTTATTCCAGACTGAGGGGCATTTTGGTACTCCAGAAATACTCTGTATTTAGTGTATCACTAAAACCACCACCACCAACAGTGCTTTGAGACAGAGGAGTAAAAGATAACATGTGCCACAGAAAGTCGGACCAAGCATTACTAGAATGACTGCATTTATTTTGCTCTTTGATCGTGTTCTCCTGTTTCCTGCTGGGTGTACAGTGTGACACAATCACACTGGCATCTCCTATAGCCTAAAACAAATATTTTGCTTCTGCCACTCCTTCTTGACTGGTTTCCCATATTTTTGTACTGTGCAGTTACTTCCATGCTACTTCCCAAAGAAAATGCAGACAAACACATCTCAAAGCTTATCAGGGCTCTCTGTTGTGGCTCTACAAGTAGCCAGAACAGGGTTGCCACCTTTCAGATACTAAAAAAAGAATGAAAAAATGAAAAAAAAAGATTAAAACCCAAAAGACTGTTTTAGATAAACTGTCCTTAAAAATATACAGATCAATCTGCACATGTACAGTAGCTCAGAGGGCGACAGATGACTGCACAGTAAAACTGTCCAGAAATTGGATAGATGATGATTCCAGTTCAGAGTGACTTTTGGGGTCAGATCGGTACAAATGGACCAGAAGACCTCCTCAGTGGACAGCTGTGACCATGGTGTGGAGGGGGCTTTCTCCTTGGCATCACTTGCAGCCTAGAAAGCGTGTAGGAGAGGCAGGGAGGAGGGGAGGATGTGACCAGAGGACTGTGCCCACCTGGCTGCTGTGATGGTGCTTGTGAGGAGGGGGCAGCTAATGGACTACACTCCCACTTCTACACCTGTCTGAGAGCTCTGAGGTAAAAGGGGGCTGCTGGGGTGTGAAGGAGGCAAGAGGCAGAGCCAGAGAGGTCCCAGGTCTCTGTGAGAACATCCCCCATGAAGCTGGGGCTCTCTGCCAGGACTGACAGTCTTGCTTTTTGTTGACAATCTGAGGGGACAAAAGACCCTGCCTCTTCTTTTTTCCACACATGCAGTGATATCATCCAGACAGTGACAAGATAGCTGATAGTCATCCCTTTGCCAACCTAAGCATCACCTCCAAATGCTCAGGTTTTGAGAGAAGCCTCAGGAGATAAAACTATCCTACTAAAATGGCAGCGCCTTCATTAAGGCGTGGGAAGACACATGCCAGCAGCGAATGTCGTCTCCAAGGGGCTGTGATCTCTTGTGACCAGGAGTTTCATCACCTCCTGGGATGGCATCTCCCCTGGGGCTTGGCCAGTTACTTCATGGCGAGCAGAGACAAATCCCAGCTCTGAATTCCCGACCCAAAGAAGACACCACCATTGAGCCCTGGACATGGGCACAAGCAATGCTTGCCTCCCACTAGTCAGAGGCACCCCTACCCACCCCGATCGATCCCCCTGAAGCTCACCTTGCGTTTCCTTCTAGATTTCGGTAAACCCTTCTCTGCGGGGGGCTCAGCACTACTACCCTGCGGGAGGCTGGCCGGCTGGTTTGCTCCGGCGCTCATGGCCAGCGGCTCTTCGGGCAAACGCTCTGGAATCCTGGACAAAAGAGCCAAGTCAATGTTGACCCACAGCGACTTTACCTCATCACTGTCTTTCAGAGGAGACAGGAGCTCATTCCTACCGAAAGGAACCAGGGTGTAAAACTGTTCCTCCAGCTCCTTTGCTATTTCACTACTAGTCCTGGCATTAATGGAGCCAAAGGCACTGCAGCTGCCTTGGGGTTTGCTGGCGGTGCCGGTCCCCGCATCCTTGGCCCGTGGCTCGGCCCCAGCTGCCGCCAGTGCCTTGGGCAGTGGGCGCTCCTCCCGCTCTGACTCAGAGCCCGAGTCGGAGGAGGACGACGAGGACGAAGACTCAGTCTCGATGAACTCCTTGGATTTGGGCGCCGTTTTGCTTGGCCCCCGGGCCCGACGCTTCTCGCCAGCTGCGGCCGAGCGGGGCTCCCGGCGGTGCCCTGCTCTGCAGCCACTGCCACTGGTGCTGCTGCTGCCAGGCCGGGCCCTCGGCACCTCGTCAGCAGTGCTTTCGGGAAAGCTGTGGCTCCGGAGGGGCTCCTCCACACCGGCGCAGTGGGGGCCGTCCCCAGCAGAGGTCCTCTCGGACCGCCGTGGCACCTTCTTCCCCGCCGCCCGCCTTGGAGGCCCACCATCGGCGGCGGGGGGTGACTTCTGGCGGCTGCCCTTGCTGCCTGGTGCTTTGTTGGCGGTCCTGGGCCGTGGTCTGTCCCCGATGGCAGCGCCGGAGGTGGTACGGCCTTCCCCACTGTGGTGCTCGGCTGGGCCGGCGGCCGGGGTCTTCTCGCTTTCCTGCCACTCCGCCTTCACGCGGCCATAGTAGGAATGGGCCTCCAATGCTGGGCTGTCATGGTGGGTCAGGATGGGTGCCTTGTGCGGTGTGACTTTATTCAGCCACTTGTCCAGCTGCCACTTGTTGGATGAGGGCGGTTCGGGCTGAAAGGGAAACAGATGGCAACAAGGTTAGCACCGAGACCCTGCTGCCTTCACCCTGGGGCTCACTCACAGTCACCAAAATGCTGGGTCTCTCCTGGTACCACAGAGGTTTTCCTCTGGTCAAAATTCTGCTCCCAAACCATGGCAACCCCCTGGCACCAGCCCTGCGTGGCGGGATGGGAGATGTGGGGCATGCTGCACGAGTGGGGATATTCTTGGTTTCAGAATGAGGTTGGGAAGGAGGACAGGTTCTGTAATCCATCATTTCTAAGGATGATACACACAGTGCTACTGGCACCAGTTTTATTGGGAAACACTCGCAAGTTTCCAAATAGAAGAAAATATAACGATGATAAGAAGGGAGGAAAACAAGGCAGGGGTACGGCTGAGGCTAAAGGAAGATAGCTAGTAGGAAAGCTAGGGATATGTGTTTTGTGTCCCATGCCATTGCAATAAATACAAAAAGTATTTAAAAAGCATACAGAGGCATGTAGGGAGGGCAGTCAGAGGGTAATCAGGAGGTTTATGTAATCTATGTGCTATTGACGTTATAATCCTGTGAGATCCCACACTTGTGGGATGGTATTGTCAAATGCTCATTTTGTGAGCATTGTGCGGCTGTTAGTTTTTCTCTTCATTCCTGTCACAACACGATCAAGTTCTAAGAAAGCATCTAAAACATAATGGTATTTGGACAGTCGATAAGTGGGATAATCATGATTTCAAATGTAACCACAGCTCAGTCAATGTTATTTCAGAACAATGTGCAAGTGTTTTCTAGTGCTTTGTGTAATCAGTAATTTGAATGTAATAAAATGAAGAGGAAAGGCAAAAAAACCCAAAAGAAATAAATGACGGAGTAGATGGCCAGACATAACCAATCCCACAGAAGCCAATGTGAAAAGATTTCTAATTTCCTTAAATGGAATCAAAATTTCATCCACTGGGCTACTGCATATGAATAATCAAAAAGTATGTCATGAGTCTAACATGAAAACCATCAATGCTCTGGAAGAAAGTTTGTTTGAGAGAGAATATTCACAGCCTTAAGTCCAGTTAAGAGTCTCTTACTTAACTCCTTATTTAAAGTAGGTGCCTGAGAACAACACAGGTTTCCTACATAGACAAGGGCAACTCCAGAATCACCCACTGATGATTGTATTCACTCTACATAGAGCAAAGGCTCCTAAAATAAGCCAAGAAATTAGACATTGGAATTCATATGATACAAATATTCCTTCTTGCAAAAGTGTCTAATTTATTAATTATCAAGATAGCCAATACCTATGGGAAATTTGCTAGATTGCCTTAGGTTTATTTTTTCTTAAGCATACTCCCTAATATCTTACATGAGGAATTTCTTTCTTGAGCTGTAAATCTTAAAAAAGGATGGGCAGTATTTCTCTTGGATGAATAAATATTTTTACAACTCTTATCTCTTTATCTAAAATAAACAACATTTTTTTTTGATTGCTGCTGAAAATACAGATAGATTTGTTTGGTGCCATTCATTGTGCACATACTGAATTTACTAGATATATAATAGAAGGTTCACTATACATGGAGGTCTCTCCACTGTTCAGGTGTATTTAAGAAAAGGACATATATCAGGAGCATGTGGGGAAAAATATACCTCTGTCCAGAAGTATAGATCAGAGTGAAGGCAGCTTGAAAGTTCAAAAAAGCTTCCAGCTTTTCTGTTACATCCCATTCTATCACTTTATGTACCTTGTTATTCTTGAAAGCAGTGGTTCACAAAATATGGATTTCAAGGAATCACAGTAAACAAGCAGAAAACAGTAATTAACTGCTACAGTGTCATAACTTGGCAATGTGGTACTTCCCTAGAGTGATATGTCTGCTATTTAGGCAGAATAACTACAGTCCCACCAACCTATAAACCAACTATGGAGTCTAATAAAAAGGCTCAACAATGTTGCCAGCTTTACTAATTTTGTCAGGAGTTTCAGGACACTCATTTTTTTCTTAAAGCCTCAGCTCTCAGAATCACGGGCTTAGATACACTTCCAGGGTTTATTTAAATAAAAATTCAAATCCTTGTGGCTGCTGAAAAAAGCACTAAGGTGTGTCTGCTAAGAAATCCCTTTAAGATGCACCTGCTAAAAGTAAAAAGCCTGCAGCCCATCAGGTAAATTAAAAGAGTCCAAATTTAAAAAATCAGAACTTTAAAATTTTTCTCACTAATTTTGGGCCCTGATACAATTTTGAAATATTTGAGATTGTCAGTGTACATGAGTTATGCCAATTCCCTTTTGGAAGTAATTTATTCAATTGACTGTTCTAACTGAAAAATACTGTACTTTGAAAATCACTTTAAAAAGCAAGGTGCCTTACAAGCGAACAAAATCATGACAGGCAATAACGAAGAGCAGGCCTGGTAAAAAATGGGATTGGGAAGATTCACTTCAAAGTTTTCACCAGTCCACTTTACATGCCTAACTGCAAATATCTGTGGGAGAAAAAGAACAACCCTAATTCTCCAGCCCACATCACCCCCCTGAGCATGTCACATACCATTCTATAGAAGAAAAGTTGTTTTTTCTCAGATTGGGAAATTTTAAGCAGCATGTAAGGATGGAAATAGACAGGAACATACATCCAGAGTGATCAGATAGCTTAATGATCTCTGTCCTTTGGTTTTTGTGTCATGGAAATATGCTGCCCTCAAGGTCTTGTATAGAACTAGTCAGTTTTCAAATGGGCTAAAGGTGGTGGTGCCCAGATGGGCAGCAGTAATAGGAATAACAGTCTCTGATGAAGCTGATTTGCAATGAAATATGGGTTTGGCATGAAAATCCAAACCAGGAAACTTTACGAAACAAAGATAGTTTCAGGGACCAATGTACCACAGACATACACATGTGCCAGGCTTCATCAAGAAACAGAAGGATGTGATACACTTTCTTAAAAACTGTGGGTGAATTCGTCTGTACAACATAGACACCTATATCTGAGCTAGTCAATGAGTTCCTTCTCCAGTCAGTGGACTACTCGTCTAGGGTGTGAAAAATTCCCTCTTGAAATAGACATCTGAAATAGGCCAGGTGAGCTGGGTCCTAAAAGAATGTCTATTCCTCTCCACTGACTGTAAAGGGAAGGCTGAGGTGGTGAGCAGATGTAGGTATCTGCAGTAGAAGTGTCCAAATTTAGGTGGGATGACTCCTACACAGCACGTCTATATATCTCAGATCTCTTCAAGGCTACAAGTGCAACTAGAGGCACGAGTGGCATGCATCCAAAAGAAACCTTTGACAAAACAGTATCCAGGAACACTTTCTGGAGTAAAGGGCTATTAAACAATATAAGTGTAATGGGGTCACTCTCTGCTTGTTATTGCAAAGAGGGACCTAAGATGTATCTAATACTGTGGTAAACTTGAAGCATGGCACCAGTGTCATTGAGAGATTAGATAGCCTATAATATGTGCATGTACTTAGCTCGCTGTGGGGTAGGAGTGAGCTATCCGCCATCCCTGCAGTATACTCTGCCTATTGTAAATCCATATACTAATTTATCCTTGTGATAACCTGCTTGTGCTGCCCTGCTATCAAAGATTTCATTCAGGGCAATCCCCATACAAATGTGGTGCATCTTACATTGTATTTAAGGCACAGATGATGATGATGATGAAGAAGACAATGAGGATGATTATTATTATTACTACTACTACTACTTCTTTATTGCTACTATTAGCACTGCTGCTAGTGATTTATCAAATTAGAACTGGGGATTCCCATGCATTAGGCACAGCACACATATACTGTAAGAGGTGGTTCTTGCCACAAAGAATTTTCTGGAGGGAAGAGAGAGTTTAGTTTTTAGTCATTGTCAAAAATATCCCACAGGACAGCTAAAGCCCATGAATCCTGATTTCAAAGGTAAAGATAGTGTCTACAGTTGGTCTAGTGGTAAAATACCCTTTTCTTCTGAGTGTACCAGCCAGAAAATTGAATCATGGCTATACTTAAGATGGGAAGCAAAGACTTTTTGGAAAACAAGATAGATACAGAAAACATATCTCTGCTACCCCACAACTGTAAAACTACAACTCCCCTTCCCCTGCCTCCCTAATGAAATCTATCGGTGAAGAAAGACTGGTGAGGTGTCAGGAGCATGCCCATCAGTTAGCTAGTCTGTTAGATACACACATTCTTCCTATTTTCAGAGCTACATAGAAGAGAGTGAATGCCACAGAGCACCTGAGGGAATAGCAGGGATTCACAGGCATTGGCTCCTCAGCCACTTCAAGTGTCCACGCACTTGAAGGACTTTATGCACAGTGGTCAGGAGGTGGCTCTCTGCTGATGACAGAGGAGGGTGGGGAAGAGCATAACTCTACAAATCACTTCAGCTTTGACTGGGTCAGTCACAACATGGGGACTTGAGGTGAAAGAGTATAACCTGTGATGATGGAATAAACATGGACAAAAAGTATATGTGAATCCTTGAAAAAGAGGAAAAAACTTTAATAGTTGTGAACTAGTCACAACAACAAAGGCTATAAAGGACATTGCATCTGGTGTGTGGGGCTGGTGGAGCCCAGGACAGGACACCTCTCTAATCTGGCCTGGTTACACTTGACTAGCCACTGATGCTTTGTCCCATGTGATGGCTTCTCTGCTTCCTTCCTGCCCATTCTGCCCTCTAGTCCTCCTTCAATAATGGAAATTCCCAGTTGTCTAACCAGATTCAGCCTTATTAAAGGTCTGCAGGATAATTCAATGGAACAAGCAAACCAAATTCTTAGTTTTTGAAATGTAGCTCTTTCTACTAACTTGACACCCAAGGATTTTTTCTGCCATCTGAAATAATGGCAAGGACAAGATGTCATTGTTTTCCGGAGTTCTCATTAAGGTTATGCAAAGAGTTCATGACTTCAGCAAAGAAACAGGAGATAGAAGCTTCAGTCCCTTGTTCATAATTTCAGGTTTGGCAGTCTACAAAACTGTAACTACTCACATTAATGTCTGAGGCACCTTAATTTGTCCACATCACTGAAACCATTCCGAATGTTGCCTCCTGTTCTAGCTCAGCCATTATTCTTAGTTTACTACAGACATAAAGTGTAGACAGCTGAGCTAGTCACTACAGGCTCTAAATAGTCAATGGAAAGAAACAGACACTTTTAGGGTGCAATTCATCTAATCTATTTTATATGTATGCTTTGCAATGAGCTGCTTTTACACTCTAGGCATTTAGACACCTGAGAACAACTCAAAGATCTCAAAATGAGATAAGGAAAAAATGCAGAAGAAATGAATCAGCAATTGAAATTCTATATAACCTCAAATGGAGAAGATATACTGTCCTAGAAATAAAAATCTTTTAGTATATGCATACAGTATTTCAGATTATGGAAAAAAAAAAAAAAAAAAAAAAAGAATGAATGAAGGCCTCATAATGGTCTTCAGATTTCCAGATTAAGTTCTTCGCAACCTGGAAATCCAGATTTCCTGCCCAGCATTGTGCAATGAACTCAAGTTCATTGTACCTGAATTTATCAGTTTATGCTAAAGCAAAAGCAAACATGTATTTGCTTTTTCTTATCCAAAAGATGAAATTAATTTTAGGACTTGGACTGGAATTGAGTCCACTGCTTAATTTAGGTGGACAGAGCCTCCCTTTAAAGAGCTTCCAAGGACCTGTCTCTCTCCATTTACCGGGTAAGAACATGGTATACACTTGAGAAAAATGGCTTCACTGGGTACATAAATGTAGGTTAAAACAATAATGCAAAGCAGACAGGATTTCCAGTCAGATCCTGGCTCCTGGGGAAAGCACAGGTACCCTACTTCCCTGGGACACCCTGGCCCTATCCATGTATGGCCTCTCCCGTATCCCATCAAAGCATGACCTATGAAAACCACTGCAGCCATCACATTTTTTGTCATTTACACTGTTGTATAAGCATGTTTCATACAGCATGTCCTAGAAGGCAAACCACACAAATATAATGCAAAAAGACAAGCAATCCATTGGAGCAGTGCAGCTGTTTCGTGACAATGATCACTGATAACTCGGGCTCTGTACAAAAGTAGTTCTACTGATCTCAAGAGTATATGTATAAAATGCTTAGGAGGAGTCACGTCATTCACGTTTCCATGACTCTCAGTCCCCTGCTTGACTTTATGAAATCCACGACCTGCCTCACTTAATTAATTTCCTGCATTCCCTGAGGAATTTCTGCTCTCAGGTCCAAGCAACATCTGCCTAGATAGTAAACAGTCCTCCCTTCCTGAGTATTACGCTTCTCCTCCTTTTATCTCCTATTTCCTTCCCCCAACAATGGTTCCTTCTCTTTCTCCTCTTTGTCCCTTTTCTTCCACCTTATGAAATCCTGCAGGGAGAGGAGAGGCTGAGTGCAAGATCTCTGCACTAATTCCAGCAGGGAACTAGGCAGAGAGAACAATGTCTTAACAGGTCAGATGAGAGAGCTCAAAATGGGAAATAAGACATGGGGTAGCACAGGGAGGGCAACAGGGAAGAGAGACTGGAAGGAAGAGAATAGAGGTGAAAGGAAAGAGAACCAGAGGGAGAGATTTAGGAAAAGGACAAAACAACAGGAAAATTAATTGGAAGTTAACCTGAAAGTACTGCAAAGGAAAGATAGAAAGGAAGATAATTGTTAAATAAGGAACAACAGTGACAGAACCTGAGAGAAATATATTAAGGATGTTTCTGTGAGTCCTGCATTTTGCCTAATAGGAAACACAGCCTCAAATAACTGAGTGAAAGATGAGGAAAGGCTTGCTGGTTATTCAGTATAATTTTTCAGGGTGGGAGAATAGGTGAGGCATAGTTTTGGGGGGAGGAGTGTGGTTATTGGATGCTTTATGTGGAGTAGGAAAATACACTGACTGTATTTAATGTGTATTTACAATCTTGCCACTAAATTTTGGAATATTTTTGCATACATTAATATGTGTGAGGTGGCTGTGGAATTAATGGTTTTATACTAAAGGTGTGTGTTGACCAAAACATGTAGAAATGTCAGTCCTGGTAGAAAAGCAGAGAAGAGAAAGCAACCTTATCATGTCTGTTGAGCATGCTGCAGAGTTGAAAGCAGAAGGTGGCATAGCACTGGCAGCTTAATTGTAATTAGGCTAGGGATTGTCTACATGTGGAAATTTTCAGTACTAGCTTTCCAGATGACAAGCTTGGGTTTAATGTTTTGCACCATGAGTAATTCAGTTTAGTCCATTTTGGAGGTGGATTAAAATAAATCACACAAAGGTAGCAGTAGCAGAGAATAATTCACTTAGAGAGTAAGGTGAGGGAAGTGCGTGAATGAAAAACAACTGTTTTGCTTTAAAAATCCACCCTCAAACTGATTTTGTAATAGCTTCCCTGTGTAGAGAAGCCTTTAGTTCCCTTGCAGTGCTGGGAGCCCACATTAGGATTTATGCGCTAAGCAAGCCATTGCTATGGAGGCAGAGTTGCATAAAACTTAAAGCAAGCTGTGAGCCTTGCAAGGCATTCCACTCCAATTTGAGGAAAATATCACAGGGTTCTTTCTTTCTTCATTTTTGTTTCAAATGCTTTAATCTGCCCAAGGATCCCCTACCACTTGCATTTCACAGCGTGCCAGGAGGAGGATCCCTGGGCCTTTCACTTCCATTTTTTTTTGTTTTTTTTTGCACCTCCCCACAGCCTCCTTGTGTTGGCTTGGATGGAAAAAGGTCTGAGTGGGTGTACTAATGGATTGCCTCCCTAAATCATAAAGAGCAGAAGCCCTTACCTCTGGGCTGGAGTAATGCGAGGGCTTGCTGCCGTCACTCTCGCTGGAGCTGCTTTCGCTCTCTGAATCAGACTCTGAGCTGGTCTCGGATTCACTGGAGCTGCTGCTGCTCGACCCCTTGCTGGAGAGTCCCAAGGCTCGGGCATTGGATTGTGGCACCACCAGGCTGCCAGCCCGCACACAGCCCATCGGAGAGCGGGGAGGGAGGAGAAGAAAACAAGAACATAAAAAAACCACATGTAAAACCCATGGTATTTTAGGGAGCATACTTATCTGGATGCCTGGGAGCTTGTCTCCACTGCTAACGAATGGCAAAGTGAGTTCAACATTACATTATTGTAATTGGGGGGAAAATGCAGGGTTGCCCTTGTATCCATTTAAATCTATAGCCTTTGTCATCTCTTCTTCATCTGAGGGAGGGTCAAGTTTTCACTTCGGCTTGTCTCTTTTCTCATTCAACAGACATTTTAGGATATATTAAAAATATGAAATGTTAAAAAAAGAGTATAGAAAACATTCTTACACTGTCTAATGAACACACTGCACAGAGGTGAAAGCATGAGATGAAAGAGGTGAACAGTTAAGAAATGGAGTGGAACTCTACAGTACCAGTCATTTATAAGTAGCAAGAGCAATAACGATAATAATAACAATAATAATACATCCTCACTGGGGCTTCTGACCCCCATCTTTTGTTTTGCACACTTCTTCACCTATCCGCAAATGATGTGGTTACTTTGATATTGACAACTGCAAGATCTAAAAATCTGATCCTGCAAAAACTTGAAGAGCTCGGGCTTGTGTTGTGCATGTCAGCAGTACAGTGCTGTCAGTAGAGGTACTTGCCTTATAAAATTTATGTTTGCATGCAAGTGTTTGTATCATCAGGCCTGACAGCAAAAGAAATGTATACTTTCCTGAAATAGTTGACCATGCATATTAAAAATATCACAGTCATAAAGACCTGAGTGTGAAATGTCCTATTAAGTCATCCAGCTTATTCCCCAGTCAATGGAAGACTGCTCCCTATAGCAGGGTGCTTTTTCTAGTGAGTTGTCCAATTTGATTTTAAATGACTTGAATGCAGCTTTTACTTTTACCCCTGGGAAACTTCTCTGCAAACTAACCCAAATTCCACTGTCAAAAATTTCTTCCTACATTCAACCTGAAGTTGCCCTTTTTAAATTTATTGTTGTTACTTATTATTTCATCCTATTACTAACAGTTACTATGATAAATTATCGTCCTCCCTTTTTGATTTCACATATTTGCAGGCTGTTTTCCTGCCCCACTTCAGTCATCTTTTAGACAAGGCCTTACACATTTACTTCTTCTGATCTTTCTTCATAAGTCATTATCTCCAGGGATACAGGATCATTTTTATGGCTCTTTTCGGAACTCATTCCAATTTGTCTACATCCCTCTGATAACAGGATGCCCAAAACAGAGTGCAGCATTATAGATGGGTTCTCACTAGAGCTCTACAATGAAGGGCTATTACCTTCCTGCTCTGTGATGCGTTGCTTCTATAAACATACCCAAGCTGTGATGGAATATATAGTCCATTAACACTCCTACATCTCTTTCAACACTGCTTTCTCCAGAATTCCTCCACTGATGGCTACATTTTAGATTATTTGCTTCCAGAGAGATTAGCTTGCTTTTTTCTTCATACCAGATCTCATTTTCTTCTTTACCGGACATACTTCGAGCTCTTTTTGATTTATTCCTCTGCCCTCGGAGGTGTCTGCAGCAACTTCTAATTTAGTATCAAATGCAAACTTAATTAAATGGTTATTCACTTCCTTTTCCAGATCATTAATGAGACGGTTAAAAAAAACCCATATGAAACACACCGCTACCCTAATAACTATCTCTTCCCAACTCCATTCACCAGTGTTTATCATTACCCTTGTTTATGCTCCATCAGTCTAATATTGTGGCTAATGCAACGTGATCTTGGAGATGCATTTTGTGAGAAATAATATCTAATAAATAATTACAGTTCTGCTATGTTGCACCTAGTGAATTGTCTTTAGCTGCTAATGGTACATTTCATTCTGGAAAACCGGTACCTGACACCTGACACAAGCCACATATGACAGGCAATTTCTGGGGCTTTGAAAAGAGGCCAGGCCACCAGAGACTCAGTTTTGACTGCATGATTCCCCATGGCTGCACACTTCCTGGTCCTATCTCCACCTCCCCTAACATATGCCAACCTTTCCCCACTGGACCCCCTGTCTTGCACAGCCAGTACTGTCACCACATAGCCTTTACTTACAGCATCCCCCTTGCCTTTTGCTAGGAAGTGGCACAGCTTCCCATGGATTTCTTGCTCCTGAGAATTTCTGGTTGTTTGAGGAACCGTGCTGGTGTTGGAGAGCTTTCTGTACCCTTTGAGGCACAGCGGGGCCAGGCAGTGCAGAAAACCTCACCTGTGATCTCACCTTACTAATTAAAGCAAGGAAAATAAACAGGAGAGGGAGGAGATGACATCCATTTATATTTTTGACCTTTATTTCCGTCCTTGTAACCATCAAGCAGTAGAGAGGCAACAGCAGAAGCTCAAGCTCCGGCAGGAAGACTTGGTGCTACATGCATGGTAGCAGAAGTGCCTGCCAACACTTGGGAGGCAAGAGGTCTGTCATGCACAGGCATTAAATGTACCAATTACAGGGAGTGCTTTAAAAACTCGCCCTCTGCTATTTTTGTTGTTATTCATGATGTCTCTTTGTCTAGCCAGGTAGGTGTGGTAAATAAAAGATTTTCAGGCAGCCATTTGTATAACAGCATTAAGGCACAGAGGTGCCTGAATCAGAAACAGCTTATAAGCTTCTAAAAATTTTCCTTCCCAGTGAAGGAAAATTAATGCTTTGTGCACTGCTTTGGGACAATGCAGTTTTCCACTTGTACAGGTTGCCCAGTAAACTCTAGATATAAGTTGCTCACTTAAAGATTACAGCCAATCCCTTGCTAAAAAAACAGTGAGAGCTATATAAAGGCCATTGTGAGTACGTTTTCTGGTTTGATTTTTTTCCTTCTTTTTTTTTTTTGTTTGATTTTTTTTTTCTTCAGGGAATATGAAAAGGTAACTCTCTTTTCTGACAGTGTAGCTTAGGGATTGCTTTTGACAGTGTCCGACTGATGGATTTCCTGTCCTTTCCACAACAGCATTGTGACTGTTGCCTGAAAAGTTCTTCAACATCACAAAACATCTGCACATTTATGTCCTGCCCCTAGTGACTGTGGTTTTAATTTTTAAACCATCATTTTTGTTTGGCATTGACTGAAGTATTCAGAATTGCTATATAGGGGATGAGGGAGAAAAAAACCCCACAGTAATATTTCTTTCCTGTTGTGACATGAAATGTTTTTCTAGACTGTTGAATAGAAGTTGTTACTACAGCCATAGATATAAAATATAACTGTTGGACTCTTCACAAACATCTGGAAATCTATGTTTTCTGCTCTAATGGTAGCCAATATACTACAAAAATGTAACATTACACTGTTTTCCTATTTATGCTGATACCACTGAAGTCTCCTGTCCCCCTTCTACCTTATCTATTTTTAAATATAGCATATTCTTATAAGGAACCTCATTGTATTATAGTGACCAGGGTGAAAACAGTTCCATATTTCTTCATGCATTCTTATTAAAGAACAACCATTATTTTAAATTGGCAACTTCTATTTTGGACTGTTCTTTCTAAAGTATGTAAGCAAGATCATGCAGTCAAAATAAAAGACCGATTTACATTTTAATGAATGTGGTACATAACACTCATGAATATTTTGCTACTGGCTTATGCCCCAGAATTAATTACTACATCATAGAAATTATATTTTTATTTTAAGCAATTAAACATCAATTTGTGTAAGAACCATTTTTGTTTAAATCCCTTGATCAGAATGTACACTCTCCGATTTAAGAGAGTAAATACCTTGTAAAGTTGCCAGAAGTTCAGTAATAAGGTCACTTAAAAACCAAAACACCATCTGAAGTTTCTGATCAGGTATCTCCCATCATCCTGGCTACATGGGACTTGGGCACCTAAACACCATGCAACAACCTATTTTCCCACACTGCCTAGTGAACAAGTCACCTTTGAGAAACTGCTAGATACCTTGTAGCCTCAGTTTTTCTCAGATGTGCAGGTTGAGAAACACTGTGATTTGGAGAGATTAATACTTCTCCGCTCAAACTGATTTGTGATCCAAGTTGAGATGGTGGAGCCATCTCAATCCCTGGAGAAGCCTGAGTGGTTAGTTGTGATGGGACCAGTTATTAGCTCCATCAAACTTCATGGCCACAACCAGACTTTCAACAGTACCAAGGTGTTTTAAATACTTGTGCAGGAAGGTGTAGGCACTTGCTGTTCAGTCAGTGGAGAGAGATTCCCAAATCACGATTGCCTCAGTGGTCCTCAGGAGATCTCTTGAGGTTAATCATGATGGATCTGGGTCCTACTCTATGCTTCATATTAAGCTGCTGCTTACAGCTGCACTACTTCCCATGATAATAAATCATGGCATTCAACATTGGCCACAGGAAGTTTCCGGGCAGCTAAGCATATGCTGCATTGCAGGAATTCAGTCTCAGTGTTTCAAAGACAGACGGCATGGATTCTTGCTCGAGGTACAAGTCAAACAGATGCAGTTCTTTACCAAACTGCAAGTACTTGGTAACTATGTTAAATAGATTCAAAGAGAAAAATTCTTCATATGCTGAAGAAATTGTGATCCCAGTTCATCACTGTGTTACAATATGAAGGTATTTTATATCTACTTTATACCGGTATGAATGATTATCAAGAATGCAAAGCAAGGGAGAATCAGGCCTTGAAGAAAAGACCAAGAAAACATATCAGAGTGAGTCTCTGAAATACTTTTCCAGACATAAAAAAGGCCACACAAATGCTTATGCTTCATATTTTGGAGTCCAGTTAGTCTGTGTAATTTCACTTTGCAAGAATTGTATCCAGAGCCGCCTTATCAGAAAGCTCTGTAACACTATCAGACACAATCTGCTGTATTTGTTTTTGTGTCTGGAGATGGGACAATATTTAGCCAGTGTCATCTGCATAGCTGTGATCATTTAAGCTATTTTTCTTCTAAATCTCACCCTACAGTACCATCCTTCAAGCACCGTGCAACTACCAA